AAACTCTCCAGAAAGTGGGCATAGAGGGAACCTACTTCAACATAATAAAGGCCATATATGACAAACCCACAGCAAACATCCTTCTCAATGGTGAAAAACTGAAAGCATTTCCTCTAAGATCAGGAACAAGAGAAGGATGTAGACTCCCATCACTATTATTCAACATAGTTTTGGAAGTCCTAGTCACAGCAATCAGAGAAGAAAAAAGAAATAAAAGGAATACAAATGGGAAAAGAAGTAAAACTGTCACTGTTTGCAGATGACATGACACTATACATAGAGAATCCTAAAGATGCCACCAGAAAAATACTAGAGCTAATCAATGAATTTGGTAAAGTTGCAGGATACAAAATTAATGCACAGAAATCTCTTGCATTCCTATACACTAATGATGAAAAATCTGAAAGAGAAATTAAACACTCCCATTTACCATTGCAACGAAAAGAATAAAATACCTAGGAATAAACCTACCTAGGGAGACAAAAGACCTGTAATGCAGAAAACTATAAGACACTGATGAAAGAAATTAAAGATGATACCAACAGATGGAGAGATATACCATGTTCTTGGATTGGAAGAATCAATATTGTGAAAATGACTATACTACCCAAAGCAATCTACAGATTCAATGCAATCCCTATCAAATTACCAATGGCATTTTTTACAGAACTAGAACAAAAAACCTTAAAATTTGTATGGAGACACAAAAGACCCCGAATAGCCAAAGCAGTCTTGAGGGAAAAAAACGGAGCTGAAGGAATCAGACTCCCTGACTTCAGACTATACTACAAAGCTACAGTAATCAAGACAGTATGGTACTGGCACAAAAACAGAAAGATAGATCAATGGAACAGGATAGAAAGCCCAGAGATAAACCCACGCACCTATGGTCAACTAATCTATGACAAAGGAGGCAAGGATATACAATGGAGAAAAGACAGCCTCTTCAATAAGTGGTGCTGGGAAAACTGGACAGCTACATGTAAAAGAATGAAATTAGAACACTCCCTAACACCATACACAAAAATAAACTCAAAATGGGTTAGAGACCTAAATGTAAGACCGGGCACTATAAAACTCTTAGAGGAAAACATAGGAAGAATGTTTGACATAAATCACAGCAAAATATTTTTTGATCCACCTCCTAGAGTAATGGAAATAAAAACAAAAATAAACAAGTGGGACCTAGTGAAACTTCAAAGCTTTTGCACAGCAAAGGAAACCATAAACAAGATGGAAAGACAACCCTCAGAATGGGAGAAAATATTTGCAAACGAATCAACAGACAAAGGATTAATCTCCAAAATATATAAACAGCTCATGCAGCTCAATATTAAAATAACAAACAACCCAATCGAAAAATGGGCAGAAGATCTAAACAGACATTTCTCCAATGAAGACATACAGATGGCCAAGAAGCACATGAGAAGCTGCTCAACATCACTAATTATTAGAGAAATGCAAATCAAAACTACAATGAGGTATCACCTCACACCAGTTAGAATGGGCATCATCAGAAAATCTACAAACAACAAATGCTGGAGAGGGTGTGGAGAAAAGGGAACCCTCTTGCACTGTTGGTGGGAATGTAAATTGATACAGCCACTATGGAGAACAGTATGGAGGTTCCTTAAAAAACTAAAAATAGAACTACCATACAACCCAGCAATCCCACTACTGGGCATATACCCAGAGAAAACCATAATTCAAAAAGACACATGCAGGCTTCCCTGGTGGGAAGGCACAGTGGTTAAGAATCCGCCTGCCAATGCAGGGGACACGGGTTTGAGCCCTGGTCTGGGAAAATCCCACATGCCATGGAGCAACTAAGCCCGTGCACCACAACTACTGAACCTGAGCTCTAGAGCCCACAAGCCACAGCTACTGAGCCCACATGCCACAACTACTGAAGCCTGCACGCCTAGAGCCCGTGCTCCGCAACGAGAAGCCACAACAATGAGAAGCCCGTGCACAGCAACTAAGAGTAGCCTCTGCTCACCAACGAAGAGTAGCCCCCGCTCACTGCAACTAGAGAAAGCCCACGCACATTAACGAAGACCCAACACAGCCAAAAATAAATAAATAAATTTATTAAAAAAAAAAAAAAAGACACATGCACCTCAATGTTCATTGAAGCACTACTTACAATAGCCAGGTCATGGAAGCAACCTAAAAGCAACCTAAATACCCATCGACAGACAAATGGATAAAGAAGATGTGGTACATATATAGAATGGAATATTACTCAGCCATAAAAAGGAACGAAATTGGGTCATGTGTAGAGATGTGGATGCATCTAGAGACTGTCATACAGAGTGAAGTAAGTCAGAAAGAGAAAAACAAATATCGTATATTAACGCATATATGTGGAACCTAGAAAATGGTACAGATGAACCAGTTTGCAGAGCAGAAATTGAGACACAGATGTAGAGAACAAACGTATGGACACCAAGGGGGGAAAGCGGTAGGCGGGTGGTGGTGGTGGTGTGATGAATTGGGCAATTGGGATTGACATGTATACACTGATCTGTATAAAATGGATAACTGATAAGAAAAATAAATAAATAAAAAATAAACATACACAGGTTACTTGTGAGTAAAAAAATAAACAAACAAAAAAACAATTATTGGGTCTCTTTGAACTCCAGAATTCAATGGACACCTCTTGCAGGAAAAAAAAAGAAAACAGAAGGAAACCGGCGCCAGAACGAATAAGTTAAGAGAGTAATAATATCTGAAAAAGGTATGTGATAAAATGCCAAAGCAATCTTGCCAGGGTTTGTTTGCTTTCACCTATAATCTCAGGAAACTTTAAAAAGCTAAATTTGGAGTCCCTGTAGAACAGGATGAAAATGTAGTGACCAAGAGGGGGAAAACATTTTTTAACTTTTTTCTTAAGACGTCAACACAATACTGCTTTTCCTCAATAGTTATATTGGCTTCACTGGCATACACAGTGTAAAAACAAGACCACAGGCCCAAAAGGGAGTCCCTTATGCTAAACTCCACATTGCCAAACCGTGACCTCATTATGATTTCTGCCCTCCCAGAAATGGAATCTTAAACCCGTCAATCAGAAAACCTGATCAGCACCGGTAAGGGAATCTGCCTGGCGGACATAGCCAACCCGCTTTTTTGCCTGGTTTAACTTCCTTGCCCCTGCTACCTTCTGCCCATAAAAGTTTCTCATTTTGTACAGCTCCTCAGGGCCCCTTTCTATGTGCTAGATGGGATGCTGCCTCATTCAAATCAATTTTTGCTCAAATAAATTCATAGAATTGTTAATAGGCCTCCATTTATCTTTTAACAACAGACACCGGGATACTGTGATATAAGAAGAAATATGTATTTGGTCTTCTCCTCAGCACAGAGCTTATAAAACCCGTGGAATTTCCTGACTGATGGGTGACAGGAGAGTCTTGTTATTCATAAAATGAGCTCTTCGACCACACCTGAGTTTATGCTAATGAGGTGACTCCTGGAGGATGGGGGCTGGTTGCCAGAGGCACCAACCATGGGATTCGAGGGTTGGAACTTTCCGGCCCACTCCCCAGAAGACTGAGTTAATCACCCAGTGGCCGATGAGTTCATCTGTCATGCCTACATAGTGGAGCCTCCATAAAAACCCTAGATGAAGGAGTCTGGGGAGCTTCTGGGCTGTGGACGCACCCCTGTGCCTGCTGGGAGGGTGGCACATCCCAACGTCACGGGGACATAAGTCCCTATGCTTGGACATTTCCAGCCCTCACCCTATATACCCCTTCATGTGGCTGTTCATTTGTATTCTTTATGACATCCTTTATAATAAACTAGTTAAACAGTAAAAAATTCTCCTGAGTATTCTGAGCTCTCCTAGCAAATTACTGAAAGGAGGAGGGGGTTGTAGGAACCCCTGGTTTGTAGCCAAGTCAGGCAGAAGTATGGGTAACCCACTACTTGTGACCACTGTCTGAGATGGGGGCAGTCTTGTGGGACTGAGCCCTTAACCTGTGATGTCTGTGCTAACTCTGGGTAGTTAGGGTCAGAACTGTTTAATACGAGGAAAAAACACCCCGACATTTCATGTCAGAAGCATTGGGAGTAGAGAGACAGTTCTCCAGGTACCTAGGTTTCCAGATACCTAGTCTACTTACAGACAGAAGAATATCCTTCACTGAAGGTCTTTGCAGCCTGGTTACCTACTTTTATCTGCAACGTGTTTTGTGCTCCACAACTTTCATGTTTCTTTCTTCCCCTATACTTTCAAACCAATAGTTAAGCCAGAATATTAATCAACTTGTGTAGAGGAAAATACATTTACAAATAGGCAATAAGATGGCTTTGATATAGAAACCTCATAAAAATGTATTTATCAGACTAAAGAATAATAATCTGGTATAAAATCTCAATGATCCACACTGTCTTTGAGTAATGACTAATTCAGTGAATTCCCTATATGCTTCATAGGCAACCTCCTTCCAGGTGAGTAAACTACTTGCTAGGTACTTGTAATTCTTGAAAAAAATGATCATTTTGAGCCAGCTGTTTCGATCAGTTCATGCAACTGTTTTTCATACACCCTACTGGCCCCTAAGGGTTTCTGCACCACCCAAAGCAATTCTCACACAGTTGTTAAACATTCTCATGATTTCATCAAATTCATTCAGAAAATATCTCCCATTCCCATGCCAGAGGGATGAAAGATTATATTACACTATACAGTTACATCTTACGTATATCCTTTCATACCAAACAAATGTATTTTTCATTTTTAAAACAAAAGCATTTGATTTTATTTCTGTGTTACTCATATTTTGGCATTTACATAAAAGAAGTCAAATGACAGTGACCCCTGAGGACATCTGTATCGTATTTGCAGTGATTATGAATTGTGTCACTGACACTTTACTCTGCATGTCATTTGGTGAGACAAGGCAGCAGCTTTCCCGGGCTTGGCATGTCTGATGGCAGATAAACCCGAGAATCTGCTGACGCAGCAGCCTGAGAAAAACCTCACTCACCTCACGTCCACCTCACCTCCAACGTGCATGAGAAAAGAGCCATCGGGTTGCTTCAGCGAGTACAAATACTGGAGAAGCTTCTCTCTGAGAAATGAACAGGAGAGAGGCAGGAGATGGCGATGGTCAGTGCACTGTCAGCAGGCGGGAGCCCAGCTGGGTGTCCAGTCCTGCTGGCTTTGACTGTACCTGTTAATGACATCATAGGCCTCTTTGGTGCCAATGATGCACAGCGCGTTGACTGCTGCATACGTGGGCGCAAGATGTGGGTACTGGCCAGGGCCCCCTCCGAAGCCACCTTCTGGGCTTTGACACAGCTCCAGGAACTGACACACGCTAGGTACACAGCCAAAGGGAAAGACAAGGTCAGACAGCATTCATTTCAAAACACCAAATTCCACCAGTCCATGCCTTTCCAAGCCTCCGCCTTCCTCAAAAGGGAAGAAACCTCCCCTCCCCACCTAGTGAATATATACTGAATACAGTTAACACCTGTAAAGGGCCTAATTCTCTAATGATAGCCTGATTCTCTGCCATCATCAGCTTTGTGTGTCCTCCTGTCTGAGTTTTGTATTTAAGCATTTGCCTAGTCATGAAGCAAGGAACATAAGGCCGCGCAGAAACACACAGACTTTCTTAGAACTGGGAGTAAGTCTCATGCTTCTTGACCCAATCTTTCCCATTCTTTTCTCTCAATTTGCCACCCTGGATCTATGGAAACAGCCCGTTCTCCTTGCCTCTAGGGTACCTCCCAGGCTTTGGATTTTGCCTAAATCATCGTGATACTCAATTGCTGGTCTAGAGCCATCACCTAGGCCTACCAGGAATATTTAGAGAGGTGCCTTCTCACCCCCATTGCTGTGTAAGCCCCAGTGGGCTACTGATTTTTACTCCGCTCACTGACAAGAAACAAGCTTCCAGTGGAGTCCGCCTCCATGGTTAGGAGAATAAGAAAGAGGTGAGCTTCTGCTTGCTCAGTTCACTGTGGCAAACTTAAGCACTGCTGACTCCTATCACAGGAATGCATCCCAGGCTGTAGGCTTTTGGAGAGTTTCTCACAGAGGCTCCAGCTCCTTCACTGAGGGAAACTGTTTATTGAGGGTTGGCCTCCAAGCCCTTGCTTCCAAGCATGGCATCAGTCTGCCCAGAAGTTATCTTCTTGCTTTAAGTGAAACCAAGAGAGCCACTCTTTGTCTAAGGTCCTCTAAAGTTCATCGGAAAGGGGTGCCCCCGGAGAGTCCTGGTTCTCGAGCTGTTTCCGCACAACGTAGCAGGATCACAGCTTCCTACTAGGACAAGTCCTCAGTTAAGAGAACCAGCTGCAAATCTGTGTCCTTCTAGTGCTCAGACAGCCTTCTTTTCCTGGGCTCTTCTGTCTCATTTTTTCTTATCTACTGCTGCCAGAGAGGTCGCACAGAGTCTACTTAATCTCCACTAAGACACAAGTTGATTGCGCCTTTCCCACGTCATATTTGATGACTTTTGATTTCAGACCTGCCATTATCTGGGCAGGGACAGCCATAGAAAAGCTGCTGACTTCCTAGCAAAGCCCTGAAGTCATCACAGGTTAAAAGCAATCCACACTCACTTCACGTCCCACCCACAATTTTACTGTAGGAAACACAAGGATTGAAACTCAAGTTGATAATCAGAGAAGGAAGACAGTTCTGTGACATGTTTTTAATAGCAATTAATTTTTGCAGAGAAAAATGAGTTTTTTACTAACATGTTTCCCAAACCCTCATCAATTCTTATCCTATTTCCCAGAAACAAATAGCTAATAAACTCCTGGTCTAACAAAAGTTGGCTGCATTAGCATACAAAAAGTTTCCTGATCACAAAAATAAAGTTTTTTGGCTGACATAAAACTTAACAGCACATTTTAAAAAAGAAAAAGGAAAAGAGTCATCTAGTTATCCATTCCCTTCCCCAGCTCCCATGACAGACTTATGGCAAATGCAATACTCCTGACCCTGTAGTCTAAAGTCTGGAATGGGCCAGGATCTGAATGTACCAGAGACACCATTAAATCACCCCTCCACACCAACTGCCCCCAGCTGACAGGCTGCATCTGACTGACTGAGGGCTATGTGGGGAACAGGGGTTGGGCTCTTCTTGAGTCTGAGACACTTCCGTACTATAGAACATTCTGATCCAGGGTCTTTCCAACTTGTACCTTAAGGAACTGGCAAACTGACAGTGAAGCTACCAGCTGTCGTGAGCAGAACTCCTAGCAATTCTGAAAAGCAAAATGTGAATGATACTTCTAACAGTCCAAAGGGGAAGAAAAACTTGTCTTAGAGACCAGAAGCTCACCAACTAATTTTAAAAATCACATGTGGGAAACACTGAGCAAACACCAAGAGTGGCACACTTTGTGAAAAACAAGTATTCATAAATCACTCATTTAGTCATATGACTGAAAGATCTAGTAGATCAATTTTCTTTCAAGTCAGCAAGGCATTTCATTCTCGCTTACATGACGATTTCCAACAAAGTGGGAAACTATCTTCCAGATCAGGGATTTAAAAACCCCAAATGTAGAGATCAGAATCACTGGAGGGCTAATAAAGAACACAGACCCAGACTTGCTGAAGCAGGAAAGAGCTGGGCCTCTGTATTTTTACCAAATTCCCAGGTGATGTGGATACACACGAAGTTTGAATACAAGTCTTTGCTGTATAATTAGAATCACTTTGGGGATGTTTAAAAAAAAAAACAAACCCAAGCCCAGGCCACACCTAATACCAATTAAATCAGAGTCGCTGAGAGTGGGCCTAAGTGGCAATAGTTTTAAAAATTCCCCATGTGACTCCAATGTACAGCCAAGTATCAGTGCTTCTCAAACTCGAGTGTGCCGTGGAAGGCACCTGAGGATCTTGTCAAACTGCAGATCTAATTCAGCAGAACTAAAGGAACCCAAGATTCTGCATTTCTAGCAAGCTCCCAGGTGATGGCAATGCTGCTGGTCTGAGGACCACATTTTGGGTAGCAATGTGATATATCTGCACTGTCCAATAGGTAGCCACTAGCCACATGAGGCTTTTTAAATTTCAATTTAAATTAATTAAATTTAAAATTAAGCTCCTCAGTCACACAAGCCACATTGCAACTGCTCAATAGCTACATGTGACTAGTGGCTGCAATAAAATATAGAATATTTCCATTACCTTGTTAAGTTCTATTGGACACCACTGCTTTATCATCCAGCTATTATAAAGTATGTAAAACCTGTAAGAGGATTAAGTTCAAAGCAAGATTATCGATGATTTACTTGGACTTTTAGGGGATGGCTGAGGACTGCCTTAAAGTGGTTGATTCTGGACATCACTGTCACCAGTGTGGATGGAGGACTCAAAAGCATGCATAGTATATAAGCAAATAATACATAACGAGCACGGAAACCCTCCAAGGAGTGAAAGTCCAGAATAATATAAAACAAATCAGAAGCCAATAAGAATAAAACAAGTGGGGCTTCCCTGGCGGCGCAGTGGTTGAGAGTCCGCCTGCCGATGCAGGGAACACGGGTTCGTGCCCCAGTCCGGGAAGATCCCACATGCCGCAGAGCGGCTGGGCCCGTGAGCCATGGTTGCTGGGCCTGCGCGTCTGGAGCCTGTGCTCTGCAACGGGAGAGGCCACAACAGTGAGAGGCCCGCGTACCGAAAAAAAAAAAAAACAAAAAAAAAACAAAAAAAAAACAAGTGAAACAGGTGTAAGTAGCAAGTAATATACTTAGAGATGGCAGGAGTAGGGGATAAAGAATATAAAGCATATAAATATAAGAAATAACTAGGAACATAGCAGAAAAAGGACCAGAGGTTAGGATCCATGACTTGTAGACAATATAGAAAATGCTTTTTCAAAGCATCATAAACACAGTATTGGTCAAAACTACATCTGGCTCAAGCCTCCATTTTCCAACTCAAAGGAATTTCAGAATAGAGTTGTAAAAATGGCTAAGTATAAAAGTGATGAAAAGGCTTACCATTAGAGAAAACCACAGTGTGGAAGCTACTCAGCAAAATACCTCAAGTATACAAAGGGTAACTATGCAAACTTTCTAGTAAAGAAACAAAAATTGAAGCTAATCTGCAGCAAGAAGAATTTAGGTTAGATTTAAGAAAAACTTCAGCACCAGACTGGTTACCACAGATAGACTTAAGGCCTAGAATAAGTTAGAAAGATGATAGCTTTGGAAATAGGCACAGTCATCCTTGAGCAGATAACTTAGGAGCAGATGCAAAGGCAGGATGGATAACTTGACATCAGGCTAAGACATCTATGCTAAGTCTTCCGATTTTCATACTGTAAGACAGCTTCAGCTGATACAAGAGAGAGGAAAACTTCCCTGGCAGAGGAGAGCAATGAACAGGGGAAAGACAGGCAGGCTCTCCTGTTGATTCCAGGAGGCCAGTGTCGCCCTGGGGAGGACGACAGGTTATCTGATTTCATCAAGAGGCGATGCCTGGTGTGCTGCTGTTTTGGAAGTGTGGTCAAGTCTAAAGTTGGTTATTTTAGAGCAGGGTTTCTCCACCGTGGCGCTATTGACATTCTGGACTGGATAATTCTTGGTTGTGGGGACTGTCCTGTGGAGGATATTTAGCAGCTTCCCCAACCTCCACCTACTAGATGCCAGCAGCACCTGAGCAAAAAATGCCCAGAAGACAAATGACCACGTAAGGTATCTTCATTGAAAGATAAGGAAACAAATTAAATTTAAAAGGAAAGATATTTCAGGAGCTATCCAGGGGACAAGCAACTAATAACCTTTCAAAAGGGAAATAATAAAACACTAACACATGAAAATTTAAATTTAATCTTTAGAAAAAATTTACAAGTGGAAAAATCCTAAAACAATTTTTAAGTTAAAGATACTTTACAGATCTTACAGAAGCCAAAAGACCTAACAGTACAGAAGTTTCCCTGTGGTTTTCATTTTACTCTGTATGTTTCATTAACATAGCATTCAATAACAACGCACGGGATTCTCATTAAAAGATTCTTCCTTGGGGGCATCCCTGGTGGTGCAGTGGTTGAGAGTCCGCCTGCCGATGCAGGGGACACGGGTTCGTGCCCCGGTCTGGGAAGATCCCACATGCCGCGGAGCGGCTGGGCCCGTGAGCCATGGCCGCTGAGCCGGTACGTCAGGAACCTGTGCTCCACAACTGGAGAGGCCACAACAGTGAGACGCCCGCGTACCGCAAAAAAAAAAAAAAAAAAAAAAAAGATGCTTCCTTTAGTTCCAAAATCATTAACAAAGCAAATGCACTTAGTCTGGTTCCAAAATATTAATTTATTTTAGGTAAACACATGTATAAATTGGTGGATACAATCTC